GCCTGGAATCTGGCCTCCTGTGTGTTCTTCAGTAACAGCAGAGTGGGCCCCAAAGATCACTGTAGTGCACCCAAAACACCTGGGAGGTAAGAGCATCTTACATGGAAGTTTCATTTTGTCTTTATGGTCTATGCATGTAACTCCCATAGCCTCCTTGTTAAGTTTCTGGAAGTGACAAATGTGTCTTAAAAAACTTAGACCAGGTCATAAAGTCTGGCAACCAACTGACCCCTCGCTCCTTTTCTTTAGGAACATCTGCTGATTCTCTGGGTGAGTTCCTTGAACAGTATCACTCAAGGACACTTTTAATGTTGACTTTGCATATTTTGCTTAGGAAATTATAGGGTACCCTATAATTATATTAAACAATACATGCTTCTCCTGGGGACTCAATTTACACAGAGGTGCTGGGTTCTGAAAGAGCAGGGGAAGCCTATGAAGTAGAATCAAGGGCTCTTGCCAATTCTCCCAGTTGTTTGGGTTCAGATGCAGGTGTCAGCTCTGGAGTCCCCCCAGGAAGGGCTCTGCTGGAGTAAAGGGGCTCACCCTGAGACAAGGAAATCTGTGCAGAGTTATAGGCAGGGCCCCAGATGCAATGGTGTTACTTAATCCAGACATTTCCGAAACAATCTATGGGGTGCTGATGCTAGAGTTGTGAGCAGGAGCCTGCTGTGAACTGTCTGCTGGAAAAAGCCTGAGAGGGAATCTCCAAACTGCAAAGGGACCCACACCCTGCTCCAGCAGCTCACAGAAGTGCTGGGAACTCCAGCTATTGCCAAAAGGCAGGCCACTCTTCCCAAGGATCATACTTGTTCCTGTTTTTATCAAAATCTGGATAGGTGCCATCAAAACTTGTCTTCCAACATAAATCTCTTCAGCAATGGGTAAAGAGGTGGCCCTCAAAAATTCCATTTTGTGTTGCAGCCAAAGACAGAGATTAAAATCTTGTCAAGGAGAGACAGCTATGACATTTCAAACTCTGCCCCAAAAGAATCAAATGACAGCCAGGCAAGGGGCTGAAGACATGGGGCAAGGAGGAAAGGGAAATGAAAGAAGAGCCACAACAAGGAAAACACTGTGCTCCTGGAAATGAAACTTCACTGCGCTGGGACTCCCCCTCAGAGCCCTAGGGACTGACTCAGCGCACACTGATTAAATGCTCAAGACAATGAGTTTAGGACTAGAGCAAGGTTAGGGTTCTCTACAGCTATCCACACCTACCTGACATCCTGGGGTGTTTTTATTTCTCTGTTTCGATAGCTCATGGGGTCCCTAGTCACTCCGTTGACCTGGACTGAATGTGTTTTGCCAGCAGAAGGGAGGTGACCAAGATTATTTTTCCACCTGACAGAGAAAAGTCTAACTGTTAATTAAGGTAGGTAAGTGACGGTAGGAGGGGCAGTTAATATAAATTTCAAGGAATGTGTTTTGGGACTTTTAGAGTATTTTTCAAACTCAAATGTTCCATTTTTGTTTCATCAGACTTTGTTCAGGATATCCATATAGTCACATATCCTGCCTGTTATTCCTAGTGTTGCTGCTGACATCGTTATTTACCTTGTGATCCAACATTCAATCACAAGGTGACAGACTGTTAAACTTTCTCATTTAGGACAAATTACTAAATGGTTAAGGGCTATTTGATAAGCTTTACAGAAAAACTGACTCAAAGAAATATTTTGGTCTTGAAAAAGCTTGTTTCCCCAGGGGGTTAAAAGAGATGATGCACTGGTATCTGTCCCACTAAATTTATAATCTCGGCAAGGATTGAAATGAAAGTCCCATAGTGAAAATTAGTAATAAGATGTTCAGCCTGTATTTGTCCAGGAAAAAGTTTATCATTACTGATTGGAAAAAAAGAGAAAACATGGGACTCCTGGGGGAATTTTATCAAGTAAACAAACAACAAACTATCAAATAAAGAGAACACAAGGTCCTCCAACTCTAACACTCCAGAATCTAAAACATGGCTCAAAGATCAGGTCTCTGAGTTTTAAAACTCAGCCAATTATATGTGAAGGATACATAACTTATTACAGTATGAAAATAGAAGAAAATCATCTTCATGTGCTTTGTCTGTTTAACAAATGGGCTGAACGATCACAAAGAGAGGAGCACAGTGACCAACTGATAGTGGGAGTGTTACGAGGTCACTGTGTTCACCTTGTATACAGAAACAATAAAATGCCTTTCTTCTTTTATAGTTCACCACATCATAGGAGCTCCTGAAACTAAAGGAAAACAACATACAAAAGTGGGAAGAGGAAAGGAAATGATGGGAGAAGCAAAGAGGAGGGTGAGTGTCCAATCCGGCTGCTTTGTCCATGGTCTGATACTAGATCCTGATTTCACAGGGGGAGGCTCAGTTGCCCTGGGGTCTTCCCTGATGTGTTTTCTTACCCTCCACTTCTCTCACAGACAGCAATGACACAGAAGCAGAGTTAAGGTCTCTCATTTGGGATGTATATGGAGCAGGGTGATTCTACCTCAGCTTTTCTAAGTTTCGAAGGGCTAACAAAACTTGGTTAAAGAAAGCAGAGAAGGTACCATTGTTTCCCCAGTAGTCTCTAGAAGGACTAGTAAGGCTCTTCTTTCTTTGAGCTCCCCATGCTTAAACCAGGTTTCTCTCTGAGGTCCTTTGGCATCTTCTACCCCACCCAGAAAGAATAAGTACGCTAGTGGAAATCCCCTGAGCAAACTAGCACATGCTGTACCAAAATATTATGTTTTGGCTTTGTTCTTTTACCTCTTCACAACTAAAGGAAAGAGATACAATCAAAATGATAGTCCACTTAAATGATAAACAAGAGAATTTAAAGAGACATGAGCCAATTACTCACCCATCAAGTGACAGTCTGTGAGCATTCATGAGCTCTGTGCTGGAGGGTAGATGTAATTTGTGATTCCTCTTGGAACACTTACTCAGTTCATTGGAATTTATAATCACAGTTTTCTTGAAAGGATATTCAGCTCAATGCACAAAACATACCAATTTTTGTGAATCAGGCTTATGATTTTCTAACCAAGATTTCAAGACAAGATTAGAATCAAGGACACAAATTACTATCTGCGCAAAGTTTGTCACTCTTTATTTGGTTCGAGATATGTTTGAAAATGGCAAAAGGAGGCCTCAGCAGATGGAAGAGAGAGATTATGTCCTGTTCAGTTGGTTTCTTGCTCTGAAACATCCCTTGAGCTTGCAGTCCACAGTGTGACATTATTAACAGGGGCCAGCCTCTGTCACTGGATCTGCCTCATAATGAAGAGGGGTTTCCAGAGACTGGTACAAATACCCCACCTTCCCTTTTTTTGTTTTCTGAGATTGTCACAACTGTAATAAAGAGACAAGCTAACTCATGCAGCTCTCAAAGATTCTGCTTTACACACTGAAGGATGTAGTCCATGTTTTCTATTTGCTTCAACTTATCATCTGTCAACTTAGACATTTTTACAGACTTATAGGATCAATTCTGTAACAGTGAATCAAAAAGAAGTTTATAACTCACTGTCTACTTACCATCTTTGTACTCATCACCCTATAATTGCAGTTTTATGGTTTTTTTCCAAAAAAGAATAGCTGCAAGTCAAAAGAGATAATGCTTGAATCCATGTGAAATTATTCAGAAGGCTGAGCAGAAGCATGTCTTTCAGGAGGCACTATCTGTAGATGACAGAATTTCTATCAGTTTATGCCTTTGAACATTTGTAATGACTTAAAGGAAAAAAATCCAACAATTACCAAGAAGTCAGCCAGGCCTAACAACTATCACTACTTTAACCATGAGGCCACATTATGAACAATTGTGATTGAAAGACAAGTTTAGGGAGAGTGAAATATCTGCCATTGTTTCAGGCCACTGCTCTGTATATGTAGGTTTCAGTGTGGCTTGCATGTTCCTGAAAAATTGTGCAGTGATCACATCCTCACAAATATAATCCTATTTTAAATACACTGAGAAAATAACTATTTTATCTATTAAACAAGGAATCAGCAGACTTTTTTGATAAAGGGCCAGATAGCAAAGATTTCAGATGTTGTGTTTCATACAGTTTCTATCCTAGCTACTGAACTCTGTTGTTGTAGCACAAAAGTGGCTATGTTTCAATACAACTTTATCTACAAAAACAGGTGGTGGGCCAAACTTGGCCCTTTGGCCATAGCTCACCAACTCCTAAATTGAACAAACAATTCTTGAATGCCTGCTATGATGGATGATCATAAGTAGGTACTAGGGATACACAGAGAACAAAATCACTGTTCTTGTGAAACTCTCTAGTGTGTAGGTTTAGAGATTAGAGGTGAACTATTTAAAATAAAACTGCAATAAATTACTTCACTACTTCATAAATTACATTATTCTTTTTAAGGAAAAGGAATTTCTCCTTAAGGCCAAGCTAACTCCACACAATCAGTTGGTTGACTTTACAAGTTTATAAACATTTGTCTTGGATTCTTTTAAAATGCACCCTAATCACATTCTAGTCTAACATAGTTTGAGCCTAGATTTGAATCCACTACCTTATCTGCAATAAGCACAGATAAGTTTGGGAATGACAGGAATACCAAATTTCACATGCTCTATCTCTCCATTTCCTCTACCTCTGCTTAGAGCAGCAATACTTTTACAAAGTGTAGCTCTTGGGAGAGGAGTTTTCCCAGCCAGGGGTGAATAAGCCAGTGAAACCAGTGAAGCTGAAATCAGTCAAGGGAAAAACTAAATGGGAGAAACCCTTTATTTGATGACAAGAGGTCAGGTTCCATTGGTCTGCAACAGGCGCCAGATCAATTACACAACAGAGGGGAGAAGAGAATAGCTTCTCTCCACCCCTGGACCCTGGGGCTGCTGGAGGAAATACCTACTCATATGTTAATGGACTAAAGCCAGGCGGGGAATTCTGGAACTATTTCAATTTTACCCCACACTCAGACTTCCTGTTTCTGGCACTCCCCTTCATTTTTGCTGTGTTTATACTTCCCCCTGTCTGTGGTTAAATAAGTATAAAGCCCTAACACTGTAGATTGAAGTCTCTCTCTCTTGCTCACTCACTCCTGCTCTTGCTGTTTCATTCATTCCTACGCATAGGCTTACACACCTCCTCTCTCCTCTCCTTCTTGCTTCTTTTGCTTTCAGAATGATAATTCTAGGTACAGCCTTTGGTATGGTTTTCTATTTACTTCAAGCCGTTTCTGGAGAAAGTGGCTATGCACAGAATGGTGAGTCATTTCTAATTTTTCTTTAGGATTTCAGATTATCTCTAGTTTATGATTCAGGTTGCTCATATCCCTAATAGATCTGAGCCATACACTGGGTTGGAATGGAGTTTGAGAACTTATCACATACTCATTTTGTATGTCCTAACCACCAGGACGGGGGCCTGGGGACAATACCATGCATGGGTTATTATGTTTTAGAATTGTCAAGAAAGAATGCATTTGAGTCTCTAGACATGTATCTTAAATGTTGGTTGATGCCTCTGTTCTTACAAAAAACAATACCTGTATAGACACATTGGTTATGCCTTTTGGAAAATCTCCAGTGTAATTTACCTTATTAAGTAATTTTACCTAAATTTGTTTTGTTTAACTTTTTAGGAGTTTCCAAAAGAATAAGTTTCGTGATAAAATAATGTCCAGAAACAAAAGCTCTGTCTGCACTTACCATTGCTATATCCCCAGTACTGAAAAGACTGTCTAGAACATAGTGGATATTCAATAAATATTTGAAAATGTCTTCAAAATACTTTAGTTTTGGTAGATTCATGTGAAATGTTTAGTGAATAACTGAGAAGCATCTGAGTGAGTTGTCTCATTGAAATATATTTAATGTCTATATATTAACATTCATGTAAGGTAGGGTTACACAGGGGCAGAGCTAGAGGGCTGTCCCGGCCACTGGGCAGCACAGCTGTGCTCACTGTCAGTCCCGACTTGGCCAGATAGGGTGAATGCACAATCCATCCCATCAGGCTCGTAGGAATTCTGACGCTAAGGTTTAAGGGTGAGGTTACAGTTTCTAGTTTAATAATATTAGTAATCTTCCCTGCTTCAGGCACCTGCAGATGCAGCCATGGTCATGCAACCATTGCATCTGGTAGGAAAAAAGAAAGTTGCAGTGATGTGGGGAAGGACTGTATAGTCATACTAGCATCCTCCCCCACCCCCTCTTCACCAGATCCCCTGGAACACTGGAGGAATCTATCCAGTGAGGACTCTCCCTTAGCTCCCCTCACGTTAAGTGTGAGCAGATGCTCCTGAAGGTATGTAAGCCAGCCCCTCATGCCTTTATCTCCCCCCATTTTAGACAGCAAATGTCTCAGATGTCCATTCTAATTTTCTACTAAACCATTCCTCTGAGGATGATATACAACATGGCATGTCCATCTGATGTGAGGTCTCTTGGCCCACTGTTGGACACCATGGGCTGTGAAGCATTGTTCCTTGGTCTGAAGAGATGTAACTTGGTGGTCCAAATTGTTATAGTATCTTCTGTTCTGATACTTTAATGGTATTTTGAGCATTTGCATCTACCACCAGATATGCAAAGCCCAGTCCAGAATAAGTGTCTATTCCAGTTAGGACCCATTTATGGTCCCCAGAGGCTACTGGCATTGGTCCAATATAATCCGTCTGCCAGCTATGTGCAGCTATGGCCTTCCCCACAGGGAATTTTCCCCATAGTCAGCTGCAGTCTTTGTCTCTCTTGTTGCCAGACAGAACAGTTCTTGTTAGTATTCTGTGCCTCACAGGATGCAAGAGGAATATGTGTGGATTCAGCTCATCTCTGCATTGCTGCAGTTTCCCCCATTTCCACTCATTTCATGAACCCAGCTGACCACCTCAAGGGAGAGCACCCACTGGCCCACTTGGTGGTTCCAGTCACCTTCTGATCCTGGAAGGGGGTTCTGATGGGCACTGACATGTCCTACTTTAACACACCCCTTAAATTCCAAAAATGATTTCCATAGGGCTGCACCCTACACTGGCATTCCTTTAATAGTCCAGTTTTCCATTGCCCATTTACCTGACCATACAGCCAGGCCATTGCCTACAGCCCATGAATCAGTAAAAATACAAAATAAGGATTTATCATTGTTCAATTCTTCCATCACTGCAGGGAAAACAGCATGCAGTTCAGCCCACTGAGCTGATTTATTCTTACCTTCTTCAACCAGAATCTTGCCATCCACTGGTCTTAATGTGGCAGCTTTCCAAAACAGGATATTGTCCATTCTCCTTGGAACTGCCATCTGTAAACCAAGCAGCTCTTTGCTGTTCAGCGGAGAGCTGTTCACAGGGCACAGCTCATATAGCAATTGGCTCTGGCAGCTCATCAGGGGGCTCTAGGGTTGGTCCTAGAAGAAATGAGGCCACCTGCTCATGCATACAGTGTGGACCTCCTTGCAGTCCCCCGGCAGCTCCTGTATGAACCATTTCCATTTTATTATGGAACTCTTCTGGGCACTGCCTTCCTTATTAGTGTGTTTCTCTGGTTCTCTGACATCAACCAAGACATTATGGATAAGGCATTTTCAATGTCCATCACTGAGTATCAGCCTTCTTCAGCCTGCTATATTTTATGTATGGTTGAGACCATGTCTAGAAATTCTAAGGCTATGGATTGTACACTGTTATTTAAGCCTCAATAGTCTGCTGTTAGTTTCCATGAGCCTTCTGCCCTTTTCACAGGCCACACAGGACTATTGTACAGCAAATTTGTGGGCACCAGCACTCCAGCTTCTAGCATGTCACTAAAGTGATTATCCTTTTTGTCCACCAAGTATTCTATATTGCTTCAAGTTAACCACCTGTGTGGGCTCCTCCAGCAGTTCTAGTAGTTTCCCTTTAGCATGCCCACATAAAACTGGCCTGAAGGCGGGCTTACATGCCTTCTGTTTTATAGTACTAGGTAGGGGAAGCAATCCCCAGTCAGACATAATATCCATCCCAATAATACATTCAGGTAAAGGAGATGCAACCACCTCACACAAAGTCTGTTCAAATACCCCAATTTTCATCCAAACTTTCACTTTAATCCCATCAACTCTTGCATCTCCATATCCTCCCAATCTAACCTTAGCCCCTAAAAAGATTTCACCAACAGGTTTTGGAAATACAGTGCTTTGGGCTCCAATATCAAGGAGTCCCGGGAAAGTTTCCTCCCCTCCCCCTGGCCACTTTACCCATACATTTGCAAATGGCCTCAGGTCTCTGGTGGGTGGGGAAGGTGGGGAGGTGGTCAGAAGACCCTGGCCCTTTTGCTTGTCTATTTTCCTAACCTGCCTGATGAATGCCCCAGGGGATTCCTGGTGAGGTTTCTCATTGTAATCTTGGCCTCCAAGCTTGTTAAATTCCTCCAAACTGGTGTAAATAGGGACTTGTTTGGGCCTCTGTAATGCTGGAGAACAACAGGTGGTTCCATTGGCCCACCAGTCTCTGATAGTGCTGCATGAAAATCTTTGTTTCAACTCCATCAATGTCTGAAGACTTCCACTCTGTAGGGCTGAGTCCCGACTCTCCCCTTCATTCCTCCCCATTTTCTTAATTGCTTTAATGTTCCTGGCAATAGAGACCCTTGTGGGGGAGTAGAAATAACAAATCTGATAAGGCTTCTTGAACTGCTGCTCAATTTTGTAGCATCAAAGTTACATGGGCTGCCCATGTAACAGGGGCCCCTTTAGTCACAGCATTCACCATAACCTGAGTGACAGGAATATTCAGTGGGTGAATATCCCATCATCATAAAGCCAATACCACATGGCTTGCATATGAAGCATATGGGGTGTTCCATTTAGCATTTGTAGGGGGAGTTGGGTAGACCCCGTTCTCAGGATAAACAGACTTCACAGTGGCTTTTATCTAGTCCACCAGACTGGCTGTTCCCTCAGGAATAACCTCTCATGTGTCTGGATCATGTACAGCCATCTGTGGTTATTCAATAGTGAGCTGTGGGTCTGGCATCAGCCCGAACATGCTCTTCCACTCTGAAGCATTCAAAACCAAAGACACGTCCCCCAAACTGGTTATTCTCACCATACACTTTGGTAAAGTTTCTTCAGGAAGCTGGTGATACCGATCTACAAAATGAGCCAGTTCATTTCCTGGTTTTCACCTCCCCCTACATTAACTATCTTCTTGGTGACCAGAGGTCTCAGAGGTACTTCCTGTTGCCCTGACGTAAGTTTTCCCTTTCTAGGCAGCTTTGAGGCTAATGGCTACCACTCATATTGACCCAAATCCAAGCTTGGTTCAGCAGTAAGCCCTGATCCAACACTTTCTTTTATTTTCAATTTGGCTATTACAGATAACAATAACCAGGCACTGTAATATTTAGTCTGCTTCTTATTAGTTTGCATTTCCTTACATATCCAACGAGCCACCTACTCAGGGGATACAGATACACTGGCTCATTTTGTAGGTTGGTATCACTAGCTTCCTGAAGAGCCTTTACGAAAGGATTGTGAGAGTAAGCAGTTTGGGGGCTGTATGCTTCATGTTTGGCTGGTTGCAAGACCCACAGCTCACTACTGAACAATCACTCCTCAGGAACTTGGTCCACTGCCATTTTGAAATTCCACTGGTAACTTTTACTTTACTTACTGATTGCAGCACAGCCACGGTTTCATACCATGGGTGCCTGTGTAACCATCTAAACATCAAAGGTTCCTTATCCCCTGCCCTTTCATTCTCTCTTCAAAAACCACATATTTCTGTGAACCTGGGCCAGTATTGCAAATCCCACATCTCTGACACCAAATGAGATTCCCACTCATCTAACACCAAATGCAATGGTGTATTTTTTCCCTATATGTATATATAACAATAACAAAAAAAATTATACACAGCAGTAATAGTATACCTTCATTCAGGTACCAGGACCTGATTACAATGTGTGTAAATATGTGGGAGGGGGTCTTCTCACACATACGTACACCAAGCAATTCTCAAATACCAGCAGAGTGTTGAAGAACTCAACTCAATTCTGATGCTTTGTGCCCCGACCCAGCACCAGATTCCCAGGTTAAGGACTCCATTCTACAAGACTGCCCTCCACCCCCCACTTAGATGCCAGTCACAAGCCCCAGGCCTGTGCTTCTGACCGACGGGCTGCAGATCGGAGGTTCCCAAGACCTCCCCCTTAGGTTTGATTAATTTGCTAAAGCAGCTCACAGAGCTCGGGAAAACATTTACATTTACCCATTTAATAAAGGATGTAAGTTAACAGCCAGATGAAGAGAGACATAGGACAAGGTCCCAAATAAAGGAGCTTCTATCCTCTTGGAGCTTGGAGCCTGGCTCGGTGGCATGTGGAGGGGTTCTGGTTCCCCAAGCACAGAAGCTCTCCCTATTTCAGAATCAGGATTCAACTGAGCAGAGCAGGCAGAGCAGAGCAGGGAGAGAACAAAAAACACTTCTCAGGGGTTTTGTGAGGGCTTCATTACATAGTCATGATTGACTAAATTATTGACCATTGGCTGATTCAGCCCCCATCCCTGCCCTTGGGTTGGGGTCCAAAAGTCTCTCATTGACATGATAAGACACCCATTTCACCTTTCAGACTCTGCAGTGTTTTCAGAAACTGTGGATGAAGACCAAATACACCTGGGAAATATATATTTGTTCATCTGTATTTGACCAAATGTGTATTTCCTATGATTCATTCATTATATCACAGCAGGTCATATATCTTATTCCTTGGAATGTAGTATATTCCATGTCTCCCTGTTGACCTTACTATTTTTTTAAAAAAATAAGAATTCTAATTGAAAGCTGAGTTACACTTTGACCTTTTAAATTTTAACTTTTTTTTTTTTTAAGATCTGTAACCACCCATCCACATGATCACATCAAAAAATTCCTGGTTTGGCTTAAAAAATAATAGCTGCTTTTTGTTGAAAGATAAGTTAGTCTCTGATAACCATAAGGATGATCAAAGAAGAAAGGGATAATTTTTAAAAATCCAAGCCATTTATATTTTTAATCAACTAATTCCTTTCAGTAGGAAGACTTTTAAACCATACTGCCTTGTCTATAATACATAATCCAAAAAAATTAAATTTTTATGGAAAAATATTTCTCAATGAACATTTGAAGAATGATAGGTTAACTCACTGTTCAAAAGCTCTGTGTAATTCCAAACCATAGTAATAACACCTTTGACATAGAATTGTTTTTCAAAGGAGCCCCAAAGCTTTCATGTGTATTCTTAGAATTAGAATTCTACCTATTCATTACTTATTTCTCAAAAAAATGATAAAAGTCACAACTATAATAAGATATAAATAAGATACATCTTATTATAGCTATAAATAATGATGCCGGGGTTCTTGTTTGCAGAGTCAAAGAATGAACTTAGTAAACACCCAAGGTAGGAGAGCCAGGGAGAGGCATTTATTTAGGAATAAAGTGAGAGGAAAGAACTCCTGGCTCACACCAGGAGGGGACAAGAGAGCCTGGGGTGGTGCGCTGTCTAGAGGATTTATAGGCAGTTGAGGATTTTTGGGAACTGATAAAGGGCTTAAGGTGTGGACTTGTTAAAAGTGATCTTAGGATATTTGTCCTTGATGAGATATTAAGTCCCTTTTAGCATGCTAAAGTGAATCTTACACATGATTACAAACGATTAGCATAATAAAAACACGGGCTACTTTCTTTTATTTGGGGAGTATCAACTGATCTCACTGAACAATGACTCTAGAGCTTAATGTTTAACACACAGTATTGGTAGGAGGTTTCCTTGCATGTCGTTACATTGCTCTGACTGTAAATATCCTGCCTTTATCTGGAGGCCCTCACCCTACTCTGTCTAAGCCTATGGTCCCTGTCTCAATAAGATAAAAGTGTTATGGAGTGCTTAGTGTGTTCTAAGATAACTCTTCATGTATATTTATTCAGCAATTCCTCATAATAACATGCATTTACATATTATGAATCAACATAATTCATTTCATTCATACATAACATGAACTAACACCCAGGTTTGGAGAAATGGAGTAACCTAGTGGAGGAGCACAGTTACAAAGTGGAGCAGCCAGGATCCAGACGCACACCTGTCCAGCTCTGATGCTGGAAGCCTTCACCATCCCATACATTACCTTTACCTATACATTTTCAACTTAGATCATAACTTTGTCTTTGTAAAATGCCATAAAATTTTGCAAATTTCTGAGGGGAACTTTTCTTGGTTACAAAGTAATTTTGCCTGGTAACACTGTAGAGCTATAGAACTGTAGAGCCAATGAGCTGCTGCTCAAAACATAACCACTTTAATTGTAGGACCATGTAACTCCATGAGGAAAATCCCAGGGCAAAATACCTTTGAAACTGAAATCAGTCCAAGGGAGAAATACAATGGGAGAAACCTATTTATTGCTTACAAGCATCTATCCACTTCTGCTCTCCCATGTCTCTTGTGACATGGCTACAGAAGGAGGGACCCCACCCAACCTCTCCAGTCCAGATATGCCCTCATTTGCCCATGTAATTACCTACTAATATGGGAATGGACTAGTCTATCCACCCCTTGGGAACACCTATTAATATGGAGTTGCACTAAAGCCAGGTGAGAGATTCTGGAAATACTGCAATTTTACCACAGACCAATTCCTTGTATATGTATGAAAATATACAGCAAACTCATATTGTCAGACTGGATGGCTATGAGTGGTGGGAGTGCTTTGCTCTGTGGATGCCCAGCATCTTCTGTCTGTGCTTTCTCTGGGTTACTTGTATGTTGAAGAATTTTAGGGGCAAAGCTGATCCATAGATGTCTGAATCCAGATAGTAACATAGGTTCAATTGTGTAGAGTTAGTGGAAGGTCTAAAGAAGAAAAAAACAACAAAACAGCATGAGGACTGGATACTATCAGAATTGATAAGATTAGGAATGAACATGCTTGGAAATGTGAGCCCTAAATGGTGGATTGCACCTCATTACTTTAAACTGTCATCAGGAAGGGGGCCATAACCCTACAGAAATTACAGAAGGAGTCTTTGCTTGTGGAAGAATTGAAAGCCTAATGGATTCTAGGAAGGGTCAAAAAAAGCAGTGCTCACAGCTTTTACTTAGATGTGGCTTTTGAGATTTGTTACTTTGACTGAACCGAGCTATCTCTCAGCTGGTTGATCCACTCAACCCAGGCTTTACTAATGTTTCCACAGGCCTATTTAATTATTTAAGTAAAGAGGGTGCTGTTTGTATATGCCGTGACCTTCAGGACACTCAAACGGGGTTTGATTTTAGTATATTCTGAATGCTATTTAAAGTCCTAGAAGCATTTACTTTGTACTATGTAAAGTACATCTAATATCGATGGACTTGGAAGCAGTCATAGGTTCACACTCAACCACTCTGGCTTCGGTTGGTCAAAGCTAAAAAGGTAAAATAAGAATTCAAAGATGAGCTTGGTTACCCCGGAGTTTCTCAGGTCCCAGGTGGAATATATTAGCTGACATATTTTTCTCTATTAAATAGTGTGAAATATACTTAGAAAATATCTATTTAATCTTAGGGGACTCAACCCAGCTTAAGAAAGCAAATACCATCTCTGACAGATTATACTTTCCAAAAGTGGTTGCAAAAAAATTCTGGTTCCCCACACATTTCCAGACTTTTGCTAATATCTCTAAGATACAGTATCTACAAAAGAAGGATCTATAGGCACAGAAGTCTCTGTAAGATTCATCTGAGTCTTCCCAGATCTAGTTTCTTTCTAATTATGTTTGCCTCAGTTAGAAGCTTAAGACAAATTGCTTAAATAAATCTTCACACAATGGAAATAATCAGTGGTATTTTTAGTTGGGGTGCCTATGTAAGCAAGGGAATCCCTTATAAAGTGAATTTCTGACTGTAAAATAGCTATCATCTTCCCTCACTCAAAAATAATACCTGGGAAGAAGATCAGTGATGGAGTCAAAGTCTTGATCAAGTAGCATAAAATAATAGAGATAAAGTGTCTCATTTGAAATGTGCAAACTAATAGAAGTTCCTGTTTAAATAAAGGAAAGAGGGTGTTGGGTTCATTCTAGATCTCTAATGGACTAACCCAATGGCAAAAATATATAGAAATATTTTCAGATTATTTATTAATTATAATGGTTTTTTCCTATAAGAAAAATCTGTGCTCATTAGGTTATTTTTTTGAAAACATGTTTCTTGTCTTTACCCTGGGGATTTCCTACTTTAAATAAACTATAATCACACCTTCATGTCCATTACAAAAGGCCTCCATTTCCTTAATGTCACTCCAGATTTCAGAATGGTACACTTATTTGCTTCATTAACAGCTGCAGGTTTTTCCTCCCCAGAAGGCTTTGAAGATGCGGAATTGGACTACTCATTCTCGTGCTACAGTCAGTTGGAGGTGGACGGCCACTCCGAGCACTTGCTGATCTGTGCTTTTGATGACCCGGACATCAACAGCACCAATCTGGAATTTGAAATATGGTGAGGAATGGTGGCTTTGATGAGTGCTTAGAAACCCTCAGTCTCTCTTTTCAGGTGCTGCTCAGCAATAGCTGCAAAGGAAGGAGTGGAGGGCCTAATTATCAAATATTAAAATCAAATGAATTCCCAAAACTTCCTGAAACTCCTTGGCCTTCACCAAAAGACTCAAGCAAAGATATTCTCACAGGTTCACCTTTCAGATCCTGTTGCTATAGCTGAATGTTGGTATGGATCTTGGAGGTGTCACATCTCTCCTAACTTCACAACACAATTTAAATCCTGGTTCTTGGTCACACCTCCCCCAAAATTTATTTGCCTAGCATGAGACAACCTAGTGTCTTCAAGTTGCATTCTGGAGCACAGTTGCCTGGTGTTTAGCATTTGAACCTAGAACAAGCTGTGTAACTCATCTGTGCCTCAGTTTCATTACCCATTAAATGAGATATGCTAGCCATAGGGAGGTTTTGATGATTAAGTAATTTAATACTTCCATATTTTAATTAGAAGACACATACAGTATGTAATAAGTAATGAAAAAGAGGCATTAGAATTTTTCAATCTATGATTGTAGACCTAACTTCCACTCTCCTGACACAGTCTGACCTCAGATGATGCTCTGAATATCATTTTTCCAAATATCCCCAGGAATAAGTTGGCACTTGCTTTCATGAGGCTCCAAAGAAAAGTCAAAATAAAAGGGGAAGTCTCCATCTGGTTTGAAAGTTCAGTAAAATGCTCAGAGAGCTTTATCTTCTCCCTCCTCCATAAATCATCTCTTGTTGCTGAGTGTTACTGTCTCCAGTGACTTGAAAGAAATACTCTAACATGAAATTCTGACTTGCGGCTATCTCCAAATCTATATCAGATGACATAATTTTAGTTAGTTTCTTAGTAAGGAACGTGAGTCAAGATCCAGCACTAGTAAAAAAGGGTTTCTTAAATTCCATTGACACTCAGCCAATACCCCACAATATATAGTCTAGACAAACCCTGGGTTCCATGTCTTATATTAATTTACAAGAACTTCCTGCATCTGTCTGTGAAGGGCTTCCTGCTTCAGTCATTGGATAAATGTGGCCTTGGACTTGAATTCTACCATGTGTTCTCAGTCTGCCTCTGTCAGTTCACTTCTATAACACACTTTCCAGGAAAGTAGTATGTTGAGAGAACAAGAGCCTACAATGTCTGGAGTCTATGAGGCAACTGGACTACACTGAAATAGCCAAAGCACTCATTCCAACGACGCATTCATTTTATGAGCAAAACCCTCTCCAAGAACAGAGTCTGACTTTGGGCTCTCCACCCAGCTACTGGGGGGACTGCAGTGTTAATTGGTTTCTTGGGGAAGCACAGACCTTTCCACTTTCACTCACACCACTTCCTTGACCACTTGAACAAATACACTCTCTTCCTTCAACAAGTCTCTTGATTTTTCTTGTCATATTTTAATCTTTCTATAGCCTCCATTTGGATTTTCAAATTAGATTTAGATATTTCAAATTGGATAGGGATTGTTTTAAGACATGTTTTCACAGTGAAACATTACGTATGAACTCCTTAGTAGGTTAAAGCACTTCTGGAGAAAAGTTAAAGCTATCTACACCTTGAGGGAGATTCATGCAACGGCTAGGTTCTGAGTAGGCAATGTATCTCAAATTAAAGCCACTTAAACAGAGTGTCATTACTTGCTAGTTAGATTGGGTTTCTTTTACACAATGAAGCTAGCTTTATTGGACCTCTTATTTTCTGTTAATATAAATTTGTGAAGAAGAATTGGAAATCACTGAAAAATCAGATTGGATAATATGGGCCCAAAAAGCACTATACATTCTGCTGAAGTCATTACACAGGTATGATTATTAATAGAAACCAGCTGCTGTTTCCCAGAGGGCTTATGGGGGCATTTTCCTAGATGAATTTACACCTGCCTGATCTGGCCACCAGAATCTCAAGCTTAGAAACTTGCTTACTTTAGTGTTCAATGAGCAGATCCATCTCTCAGAGATGGACTTGATTAGCCAAAATCACAGAGTTTTGTTATCAACATGCCAATTGACTACTTCACATGGACAGATACAGCTACCATAGAGACCCAAACATTCATACTGGGCTTAGGATTCTACAGGAGTTGGTGTTTGCGGGGAGGAAGTACAGAGAGGGCCTGTATGTTGCATGTCAATATAAATCCACTCTTACTGGGGGACCTGGAAGTTTTTAATTCACCAGAACTCTCTCCAGCCCCAGGTACCTGGAGTTACACAGCAGAGGCCCTGAAAACAGGCACCTTGGTTGGAATCCCAATAGCAACACTTAAGGAGCTCTGACCAAGGAGTTTTTGAAGATCTCTGATTATAACAGCTGCCTTGTATCAAGGGAGAAGGATTAGTGTCTGGCGTAGGGTCAGTGCCTGTAAATGGTACTTAATTATTTCAGTGTAGCCTGATTTTCATTTAAAATGTGATCAAAAGGGTGTTCAGTAAATACAGAAACAAAACAAAGGTAATTTATTTGTTGATTTTAAGACTGTAGAGTTCAGATCTCAAAGTGGTTAATTTTTATAAATTTGTTGCCAACATTTAAAAATCTAGGTATCTCTTTAAAAATCAGATTTGATAATATGGGCCCTTATAGCACAAAGTGACTAGATTCTGTCCTGAAGTAGGGGGATTAAGTCTCAGTCCTGAAGTTAGACCCATTTTTCTGATTTTTATTACCTTTGTAGACCACTTGAATTTGGGACCCTGCCTTTGAGGTGTTTGGGTAATTTTCATACCTCTCAGAAGGCAATTGTATTTCCTTTATTTCCACATTCTTGGGGGTACCACAGTCAGTCCCATGTACCACCTACAGATACCACTTCAAATTTGTCATTTTTTTGTTTACACCAATTACTACCAATGTCACAAACCTATCAAATCTACTCATATTCTAGACTTAACTAGCAATATCTGTCAAGTGTTGTCACTCTAGTCCTTTCTACAATAAACCATACTACTTTAAAGTTGTTCAATACTTCTGAGATAGATTCTATCTTTCAGAGCCAAATGAGGCAAAAAAGGTATAGTTTGTGCTTAATATTTCCACGTAAATATCTGTTTACACCAACAAGAGAAAATGTATTTACCACACTAAATTATGCAAGATTGCAGGAGATTTAGGAGGGTGGAGATGGGGTAAAGAATCAGATGCTATGGTCCCCAATGCTCTCTCTCTCTCTTTTCAGAACAAAGGGATTTGTGTGAGTGGCTTAAGGTTGATGTCCCCTGGAAAGGCCTTACAGGGCCAAATCTATTGTACTACTTTGTGTTAAAAGTTCATAAAAACTCAGAAGCAAAGCCAACAAATCACTGAAGCGGTAATTAGTAAAAGTTCATTGTGCACACACTGAAAAGACAATTTGCAAACCAGGAGCACTAGAACAAGAGCTTGGAATGAGGCCCAGGGGTGTAATGATATAAAACATTATATGGGGTGAAGACAGTGCGTGTTCATTCTTTATGGTGTTTGGCTTCAATATTTAATTTTGTAAATGAAAGGGAATTGCTTAGTAGTTACCTCATATCAATTTGGGGAAACTACACAGTTTCACTTTTGATTTTCAGGGGCATAAGCAAGAAGTGACCCTGTTAGGATAATCTCGCTTGTCTTGCACAATGAGCTAAAATAAGCTTTGCTTGTGTTGACTTCCTGGCTCTGTTGGCTCAGGGAATTTTCAGTAGTGGTCTTTGCGTTTGATTTTAATATTGGATACTTGCCATTCTTTATTCTCTGCCCCCAAAATACTCTAAATAGCTCTACCCAACAGAAATACAGTATGATCCACAAATGTGAGCCATATATGTAATTTTAACTTTTCTAGTAACTAAATTTTTAAAAATAAAAAAAAATAGGTGAAATTAATTTTAGTAACAGGTTTTACTTAACCGAATGTATCCAAAATATTATCATGTCAACTACCATTAATATTAACAAAAATACTGAGATATTTTACATTCTTTGTTTGCATTCTGAGTCTTCAAAATCTGGTGTATATTTCACAATTAGAGTACACCTCAATGCAAACTAGCCATATTTTTCATACTCAGCTCTCAGAAGGCAGTCATATTTCTTTTATTTCCACATTCTTGGGGGTACCGCAGTCACCCCCAAGTGTTCAGTAACTACTTGTGGGGTACTGTGTATTGGGTTGAGCAATGTAGTTCTTCCTAGAACATTCCTAACCCTAGAGGTACATAGTTAGCAACCAGGAATATTCTAAGTTAATTAAGTGAATTGAAATGAATTGGATTGAACTGAGTTGAACTACTAATTTGGGATGACACTGAATTTCCTCCTTTCACCTGAAGGTCAGTGGCATGAAGCAAGACCCTCTATCCTAGGCCACAGATTTACCTTAGTCTCTTGGCATGGCTTCCCTTCTATATAGGGCAGCTGCTGGAGTTCAGAGTCCTTGAAAGGATGCCCAGGCTCACAAGACAGCCATATGGTAATCCTTTATTGTGCTCATTAATCTGATTTCCCAAAAAGTGGAAATGAACTGAGCATACCATTTTAGATTCTTCCTAAACTTTCAACAGTACCAAGAACTTGATACAGGTTAAAGATCTATAATTGAATATTTTATACATTCTTTATTTACAAATATATTCTCAACTCAATGACTGAAATAAAAGCCATTATCCTTCTAATTTCTCTACCTCATATGTTTACCTAAAATTCAGAAATGGGATCCCAACCCAGTTCTCCCCCTCTATTTTATTCATCAAATCATAACAATGTTGCCATCTTCAGAACTTTCCAGCTGACACTCCTCCCAAGTTTGTTCCCTAATATCCATCTGGCTTACCTTAAAAATTTGCTCTACTCCAAGTGGGAAAACCCATCTCACCCAACAAGGGACACACCCTCTAGAAACTCCAACACACACACACACACACACACACACACACACACACAGCCAGAAGAACTGAATATCCTAAAAGAGAGCAGTTAACAAAAACCTGTTTGGGAGCAAGAGAGGACAACTTTAAGGAATGTCCCACAAATAACAAATATATTTAGCCAATTAATAACTTTAAAATTTCTTCACCAGTCTCTGTTTTTGTGACCTCAGGAGCTTAGCCAGTCACTCAAAGACCACAGCAGCCCAAAGCTGAGAGATTCTGCTCCCAAAGTCGAGGTATTCCTCTGTGGCATTCCTAAATTCCACAGATTTTAACCCTGTTTCCATCTGACCTCAAGCCATACAGACCCATTCTTTCTGTTCAGACTCCAGAAATAATCATAGAAAGGGCACCCTTAAAAGAAAAGTCTACACACATCAATTCACCAAAGAAAACCAACACACATTCTGGGTTTGTAGGTAGTAAAGAACCTTTCTAGAACATACTCCTTGTGATTTTTTAAAAAATGTCTGATCAATGAGAAGAATTCTTTTCATGTAAGCAGACTTATATAGTGGTACTTTTTCCTACCATAATTCCCACTTTCAATTTGACCCAATTATACCTCTTTTTGGGACCACTTGGCTGAGTTTAAAGAGCATGTAGGAAAACTAAACTGGCAACCACAGCTATCACAGTAAAGGGAAATTAAATTGAAGTTTAAGGAAGGAAGAACACACAAACAATTTTACTTTTATCATGCATTATTTATTTTTACAATGATAATACATACTACTTCTTCAGTTTTTATGTGGTTCATTAATTTCATTTGTTTACATTCTTTTAAAATGTCAGTTTATTTTGGGGGTAAAATTTTCCTGCGGTAAAATGTATGGATCTTAAGTGAGTTTGAGGAGCATAATTTGACAGGTAGCTATTACCCCAGTCAAGACATGGAGCATTGCTTTCACCCAAGAAGGTGGAATTTCTCTCACCTGGGGCATCAGGTACCCTTCCAATCACTCCTCACCCCCGAGGAGCAATTACAGTTCTAAATTCTATCACCCTTGGCTTTTGCCAGTTTCTGATAGGTCTTATAAATGAAATTATACCCTGCTTACTCTTACTTATTTCCAACATTTGCCTTGAAATAGTATCTCATGATTTTTATTTACATTTCTCAGTTAATAGATAATGTTGCCTGACTATCTTAGCCTGTACTTTTTGTACATTTGTATATCTTCTTTGGGCAAGTATCTGTTAAAGCCTTTTGTCTTTTTCATTTAGTTCTTTGTCCTTTTATTATCAATGTCCTTTAATTATTGATTATCTTTATATGTTCTAGATACAATTCCTTTGTCAGATACATGTATTATAACTATTTTTTGCCAGACTAACATGTCATTAATTTTCTTAATGGTTTATTTTAATAAGGAGGAGGTTTTCATTTTGATGAAGTCCAATGTATCTTTTTTTCTTTTTTACTTTTAGTGTTTTTTGGGTCAATACTATCTTTGTCTACTCCCAAAGTCAGGAAGATAATTTCCTATGTTGTCTTCCAAATATTTTATAGTTTTAGCCGTTATATTTAGGTCTATAATTGATATTTAATTAATTTCACATGATCCTGAGGTTCATATTTCCCATACATTTGTTCAGTTGTACTAGGATAATTTGCTGAAAAGATTTCCTATTTCCTATTGAATTGATTGGGTGCTTATATTTAGAATAAATTGACCTTATATGTATGAGTGTATTTCTGTTTCTGTGTTCTCTACTTTCCATTTGATCAATTCATCTCTTTATGCCAGTGCTAAACTGTCCTGATTACCATACATATCATAGTAAGTTTGAAACGAAGTGTTCTGAATCCTCATATTTGTCCTACTTTTTCAATGTTGTTTTGGCTGTTCTAAGTTGTATTTTTCCATGTAAATTTTAGAATCAGCTTGTCAATATTCTAAAACTCCTGCTGAGATTTTGATTAATATTATATATACCAATTTGGGGGAAATTTCCATCTTTCCACTACTGAATTTGCTAATCTATGAATGTAGCTCTCCACTTATTTAGCTCTCCTTTAATACTCTCAGGAATGTTTTGTAATTTACATTGCAAAGGCCTTGGACATCTATCGTTAATTTATCTCTAAGCATTTTATGTATTTATTGCTATCAAAAATGGAGCTGTTATTTTCAAAATTTATTTTCTAATTGCTTGATACTAGCTTATAGAAATATAATTGACTTTTGTACAATGGCCTTGACGAATTCACTTTATTAGTTCCTGTAATTGCAATGAAGAATCTTTATAATTTTCCATATGAACAAATATGTTATCTGCAAATGAAATCTTTTTTATTCCTTTCTCAATGGTGACTTCTGTTTCTGTTGCTTTATGCCCTGGATAGAACCTCCAGTAAACAGTTGAATAAAAATGGTGAAAGTGACTATTCTTTACTTGGCCTTGTCTTAGGGAAAATATGTTCACATTATGTATGATACTAACTATAGACCTTTGGTAAATGCCACTTATCAGGTGAGGACCTGTCCTCTATTGTCTGCTGAGAGTTTATATCATAAGTAAATATTGAATTTTGTAGTATGTTTTATCTTCATCACTTGAGATGATCAGATTATTTATGTCTTTTATTATGTTAATGTAAGGAGAAGTGACATTTTTCTCTGATGCTTTCAAGATTTTCTATTTGCCTTTATTTTTCAGCCATTTGGTTATGATGTGCTTAAGTGTGGTTTATTTGGATTTGTCCTGCTTGTATCTGCTGAGTTTCTTAAACTTTAAAATAAATATTATAACTTTAATTGGGAAATTTGGAGCCATTATTTTTTTCAGTATTTTTTTAGCCAAATTCCTTCCCTCTTCTTGTTCTAGGATTACATATTTATTCCCTTGATATTGTCCCACAGGTCAATGAGACTTTCTACTTTTTCAGACTATATAATTTCTATTGATCTATTTTCATGTTCACTGACCCTTCCTTCTGCCATCTTCAATCTGCTATTAAGCCCATCCAATACACTCAGTACATTTTTAAAAATTTTAGATTTACTTGTCTGTTATAGTATTTTCATTTTGTTCTCTTTTATAGTTGCCATTTCTCCACTAAGGTTGCAAATTGGTTTAATAATTTTGACTAAATTCTTTGTTTAGCCCTTGAACATATTTACAGAAGCTGCTTTAAAGTCCTTTTCTACTAATTCTAGCATATGGGTCACCCTAAGGTCAGTTTCTATTAACTGCTTTTTGTCTTGATGAGGGGTCACATTTTTGAAGGTAGGAAAGACACTATTGATAATAGGTTTTGTGGATTATGTTAACTTCCATTAACAGTGTTAATTTTAGCTCTGTAAATCAGTTAAATGGGCTGGGTTAATCTTCAAATTCTCTCTCCTTTGGAGGCAGCACCTAAAATCTCTGCCTAGTTCTTTCTAGAGCCTTCTAGCTATTGCCATCCAATGGTTTCCTTGGTGTCTCTTCCATAACGGCACAATTAAGGGGACAAATAATGATATGAGAGGACTTCATGTAGGATTTGGGTCTTCCATCTCTAGCTTCCTTATTTTTAGGCTTTCCCCCGTTAAAATATTCAGCCACTCAGGCAGTCCAAAATTCTGTCTCTAACTTCTCAAGAAAATAAAATGGGATTTCTGTTAGATTCTAGATGCCTACCATGATGTGATCTGAGGCGTGCCATCAGACAAAACAGTAACAATGAGACAAGGATCTCATTCACTCTTTTTTAAATTACCTTCTGCCTGCTTTTGGTTCCTTTCCAATGCTTTTAAATAGGATTTTCAACAATATCTTGTCTAAAGTATTTAATAATTGAATATTGAAAACTTAATGTGATATAAGTTATTCTGCCATTACTGGAACAAAACTTGTATTTTTTATAAAAAAGAGTATAACTTGGAGATTTTTATGTTAGTTACACAGTAAGTAGGCAACATTCTCTCTTACTCAATTTCCTGAAAGCCTAATCTTAGTTGGGAAGAAAAAGTTACAGAACTGACAAAATTCAATTCCTAGAACACTGTTATTGCATGTTTGGCTATTGCATGGTGAGAAGGGGTGATTTTAAAGTCTGTTGATGAGGTAAAAGTAAAGCAAAGTCAAAATTACCTATGAAATCCCTAAAGTAGCCATCAACTATGTATGACTTTATATATATAATCTTTTAGATTATTTCATTATTTCCCTTAACCTTTTTGATCAGTGTCTCTTTACAGGCTTTATTTCTTCAATTTGTACCTGCTAGACCTTAAAAAAGCAATTACTTTCTCACCTAAGCAATGCATTTGTTTTTCAATGATTAATTATTTAAAAACAGGAATTTTCCACTTTTTCATCAATGTGTTTTGACAATTTCAGGTTTGATTGCATCTAATGCCCAAGCAAATCATCACCGAACTGAATGTAATAGCAGCAAAGAGTCACATTATTTTAATGGTTTCTCTCTTTCTCTCTCTTGAACATGCACCTACCCACTCCCATATTTATGGACAGAGTTGAAGTCACAAAACCAAAACATATATACACTATTCCATTGTATATTCCATTGTATCCAGAAACTCCTGCTTGAATTAAGACAGATTCCCTTTTTGTTTCATAGTGATTCCCTTTTGGACATAGACTGCCTGAATTTTAGTAAACTGCAAGAGGTATACTTCATCAAGACAAAGATATTCGAACTGATTGGAGACAGCAATATATGTGTGAAGTTTAAAGGAAAGAACATAAATTGCAGAAAAGTTAACATAGTCAAGATAGGTAAGAAATTATATATGTGGGTATAGTTGCCATTTGGGGGATATCTGAAGGCATTGAGTGTGTCTGTACTCTTTGTATGTTAAAAGTAAATAAACATGAAAACTCTTTGCAATATAGAATAGCAAATTCTCTAATGAAAGGAATTTTTTAAAGAAATTAAAGTTTTGAAGCTCATGCTGCTAATTCTTATTGTGAAAGTCTTCAAACTCAGCTGTGAAAGGTGGTGATTAGTACCTACAGACTACAAGAAGAGTCAATCCATATGAAATATCTAACTGGAGCTAGGCCTCTGTCATCAAACCATATATGTCCTGTCCTTCCTCACCTTACCTTCTCCTGAATTCCTTGTAGTCTTCTCCCCATATATCTACAATATTCTGAGGAGCTTAGTTAGCTTACCAAGTTATTTTAAAAAATAAATATGCCTTCTATAGTAGTCAGAGTTCTTGAGAGGAAACAGAAACAGTGGGAGATGATATAGATATAGGAAATAGGTATAGGTATCTATTTCTATATCTGTATAGTTATATCTAGATAATAGCTGTACCTGTTTCTATATCTACATCCTATATCTATATCTATCTAGCTATCATCAATCTGTATGAAAGAGATTTATTTTAAGGAATTGGTTCACATGATTGTGAAGGCTGGAAAGTCTGAAACCTGTAGGGTAAACCAGAAGGTTAGGAATTTAGGTAAGAGAAGATGTTGCAGTCTTGAGTGCAAATTTCACAGGGTAGGCCAGAAGATCTAGAAACTCAAGCAAGGTTTCTGTTGTAACCTTGAGACAGAACTGCTTCTTCTTCAAGGAATCTCAGTCTTTACTTTTAAGGCCTAAATAAGTTGAAGTCACAAAACCAAAACATATATACACTATTCCATTGTATATTCCATTGTATCCAGAAACTCCTGCTTGAATTAAGACAGATTCCCTTTTTGTTTCATAGTGATTCCCTTTTGGACATAGACTGCCTGAATTTTAGTAAACTGCAAGAGGTATACTTCATCAAGACAAAGATATTTGAACTGATTGGAGACAGCAATATATGTGTGAAGTTTAAAGGAAAGAACATAAATTGCAGAAAAGTTAACATAGTCAAGATAGGTAAGAAATTATATATGTGGGTATAGTTGCCATTTGGGGGATATCTGAAGGCATTGAGTGTGTCTGTACTCTTTGTATGTTAAAAGTAAATAAACATGAAAACTCTTTGCAATATAGAATAGCAAATTCTCTAATGAAAGGAATTTTTTAAAGAAATTAAAGTTTTGAAGCTCATGCTGCTAATTCTTATTGTGAAAGTCTTCAAACTCAGCTGTGAAAGGTGGTGATTAGTACCTACAGACTACAAGAAGAGTCAATCCATATGAAATATCTAACTGGAGCTAGGCCTCTGTCATCAAACCATATATGTCCTGTCCTTCCTCACCTTACCTTCTCCTGAATTCCTTGTAGTCTTCTCCCCATATATCTACAATATTCTGAGGAGCTTAGTTAGCTTACCAAGTTATTTTAAAAAATAAATATGCCTTCTATAGTAGTCAGAGTTCTTGAGAGGAAACAGAAACAGTGGGAGATGATATAGATATAGGAAATAGGTATAGGTATCTATTTCTATATCTGTATAGTTATATCTAGATAATAGCTGTACCTGTTTCTATATCTACATCCTATATCTATATCTATCTAGCTATCATCAATCTGTATGAAAGAGATTTATTTTAAGGAATTGGTTCACATGATTGTGAAGGCTGGAAAGTCTGAAACCTGTAGGGTAAACCAGAAGGTTAGGAATTCAGGTAAGAGAAGATGTTGCAGTCTTGAGTGCAAATTTCACAGGGTAGGCCAGAAGATCTAGAAACTCAAGCAAGGTTTCTGTTGTAACCTTGAGACAGAACTGCTTCTTCTTCAAGGAATCTCAGTCTTTACTTTTAAGGCCTAAATATTGTTGGATAAGGTCTACCACATTACAGAGAATAATCTGTTTCACTCAGTCTACTCATTTGAATGTTAGCCTAGTCATATCTTAAAATAAACACCTTTAGACTAGTGTTTGACCAAGCAACTAGATACCATAGCCTAGCCAAGCCGACACAAGGAATTACCATTACACCTTCCTAAGGGACATATTATTGAGGAATGATGCATACCTGAATCTGATCTGTCCTAGAATATATATATTATACTTTGTCAAGAAAATTATAATAATTAGACTTCAAACAAAATTGTAATTTGAATTGCTAAACTCATCTGCATGTTTCCTTTGGTTCTATGTAATATCCATGTGCATTATAATATCAATTAGTAAATCCACTCAATTATCTGACTATAGGTCAATGTTAATTACCAATTCACCATTTGGTTAAGTCAAATAAATCAAAATAATCAGAAAGATTGAGAACATAGAAACAAAATGTTTTCTTTTCCATTAGTTACAGATTTATGACCCTGAGGTGAATTATGTTTTTTCAAAACCTCAGGGAAACCCTGGTATAGGAGAATGTCTAAGCTGATTATGATATATCAATACAATAGAATACTATCTACTTGTATTTATTCTACCTGTGGAGATATACAAGTAGAACTATAAACATATATGAAAAATTGTTCAACGTGATTGAAGACATGCATTCTTTTGGTGGTTTTAAAATATATGGTTCTTTCTCTCTCTCTCTATTCTCATCACCCTCTTCACCCCTCAAAAATAAAATTCAAGGTAAGAGATCAATACTCATTAGAGACAAGGAGGTGAGAAACTCAGTCTAGTCTCAGTGTTGTTTCACTAAGGATGGTAAAGCAAAGAGTAAAAGCAGAAACTCCATGTGTCTAGTAAAAACACAGAAATAGTGGAAAAGAGACACTAAGCGAATGGTGGCACATGTTGACCATAGAGTCACAAAGGCCACAACCAGTGTGAGTGTGCTGAGGCAGGAATTAAAGCAGCAGGGTACCTCTGGTTATGGAACACAGACAAGCTGGGTTTTGTTCATTTGTAGAGTAGACTCTTATAGCTGGGTGCACTGTAAGTACATACAGTTTGTACACCATTTGTATATAAGTATATAAAGTTTGTACACTGTACAAGAACATCCTATCTAAATGTTCACCATATACATTGCAAATATATATTCACTTCTCTGTGAACAGGCAGAGAGGGAAGAGATTTGACAGTGTACTGGATCTGACAGGGTAGTGGAATGTCAGGGAAGAGGTCCTTCTTACAGAAACCATGTCAGTACACAGGGCTTTCATGCTTTCACGCTCATTTACACACCCATAGGTTCCAGGTGGCACCCTGCCCATCTGCCTTCCCAGATCTCACGGGTCCTTGAAGGTATTCTCAAGGTCCACTTTCTGTACCCCCAGCAGACTGCAAACCTAACATGCCTCATCTAAAGGGCAAGGGGGAAAAGACAGGGTGTTTTCTCAGTTGATAGTACGGGCCCCTGTGAAAGAGGTAGTATGAGTCCCTTAGAAAGCACTTCTGGGCAAACAGAATGAGAGGTGGTGGAGGTATGTCTCATAGGAGCATCTTCTGATTCCTAATGGACATTTCATTAATAGAACTGTCATTTATTTCAATTTAAACTGGATGTTAGGGTTGAACCCCAGAGTCAGAGTTCCTCTGCAACTACCTGACCCCTCACTCACTCACTTCCCCTTCTTTAAGTGTCACCTCCCACTCAGGCTGGAGGGGCAGCTTCCTGACTTCCCACTTTTCTTGGCAGGGTTAATCTATATAATTGTTCATATCATGTAAGAATACATTCGCTTTTAAAAATGTTGCTTGAGAATTGAGCACTTTTTCCTAATCTTCTCAAAGATGCCACCTGGGCAAGCAGCAGACTTATCTGGAGGGCACCTGTGAGGTACCAGAGTACAGAAGCAAAAGCTAAATAGAGCGCCTCAGAAGCAGACAGAATTCGATTTAAGTCCTATTAAGCCAGTTTACAGAGGACTGAACTTAAATTTAACTAACCTCCGAGACTCAGTTTCCTCATCAGTGTAGCTGTGCTAAGTGATTGTTGATAGAAATTGGCATAAGTAAACACTGGGCACAAGTAAACACTTGAAGCTTAACAGGTATATAGTGAATATTACTCTATTCTTCCCATAAGTCCTCCATGATTGAGTCCTTGGGAGATGGTTATAGGGCAAGAAATTCAGTGTGAGAGGTTTTGTTGAGAATGTGAATCCTAATTATCCCCCTGAATGAAGGGTAGGAACTGCCCAGCAAATCTGAAAGGGCTGACAGTATTCCCTTTTGGTCTGTTTATCCACACCCACTTGCTTTCCTCCTGCTACCCTCCAGGGCATCTGCCCTCTTTATAATGCCATTTAAGGGTAAAAGAGAATAAGCTTCCTGTTTTATGAGACATCCAACGCTAAAGAAGAAGCCACTTCCTCTTTTTCAGTCCCTCTGAGCAATGCAGAAGAAGCTTAGACAGTCACCACTGTGAGCACTTGACTACACTAAATAGGCCAAATTCCACCACAAGAGTTCACCTAACTAGGTTGGTAAACTGATTTTAACAGCCAGTTCAGATGGTTTAGAATCCAGTTCAATCTACTGAATCAAAGTTTGATGAACATATGCTTTCTCAATAACAATAGGTTTAAGTTAGATTTTAACCTATGTGTTCCCCTGTCTTTGAGATTAGCCATGCAAAAAATGGCTGTCCCATCCTTAGATAACTAACTTCCCAGGCTTTGGTGAAAGAGCAGCTAAGAAGCCAAGACAGAGAAGCAGGTGAACAGTTGGCAGATGGCCTAACACACGTGCTATTCTAGGAATTCAGTATCTTTCTCAGAGTTTTTTCCTGCCTGGAATATACCTATTTCCCTCCAACAGCATTTCATATATGGTGCATGCAATCCTAACAGCAACTTTGTGAGGCAGGCAGACAGAAGGAAAAATATGAATTGTTTAGAGTTAATGCAAAAGAGACTGGGTGTGGTTCTGGAAGCTATAAGCTAGGACCAGGAAGTAGACCTTCAACTATTGTGTAGTTGAGAGGAGTGACAAGGCTCCCAGTTTATAACCTGATTTTGTTGGAATAATGGAGACTCAAAGTTTAAATATTCCTATTTTGGTGCTAGTGGGTAACAAGCTCTCGAGCATTCCAGAAGTGAAGAGAAACATATTTTACTGTAAAAGTAGCACTAGCTGCTGCAAAAAATAAACCCTAAGGTAAATGATACCTCAAACACCGTAAGTTTATTTCTTGCTCACATAAGAGCCAAAATGGGTGTTTCTAACCTATGCGTGGTGCTCCTCCAAGCAATATTCTGGGGTCCTCCATTCTATGGATCCACTGTTTTTAGCTTCCAATAGCAAGTGGTGGAAGTGGAACACACAGGGGATTACACGTGTGGGGTTTCTGGGACAGGATGGGAGGTGGTGCACATCACTTCCACCCACATTGCTCACAAAGCCACACCCACTGCAAGGGAGGCTGGGAAATGAAGGCAGGCTTTGAACCAGGGAGAAAAATGGTTTTTTGAGCTCTTAATCAGTTACTGACCCAGAAAAGAAATGTGATTGTCAGAGTAGATGAACTTTAAAAATATAATTATGTATTTGACTGCTCTACAGTCTGACCTCATTTTTTTTTCCTTTCCAGTTAAACCTGAGGCTCCTTTTGACATAAGAGTTGTCTACCGCGAGGGAGCAAATGACTTTGTGGTGACATTTAATACATCACACTTGAAAAAGAAGTATGTGAAAGAATTGATGCACGAGGTAGCCTACCGCCAGGAAAAAAATGAAAGTGACTGGATGGTATGTAGGTCAACTACATTTATACATTATGAAATTTATAAAGGTGTACATGCAAACATAGTTAAATAAAATATACATATTGAAATATATAAGTATATAAAACTACAAAGTAGAAATTTCTTAATGTTACATATTTTATTGTCCCAGAGGTACATTTACTTGGAGAGGGCACTTAGAAATTTTGACTTCAAAAATGTACCTTTTACTGAAAGAAGCTCCCCCAAAATATAAAAGCTCTGGGCTACACAAAACCTGGATCCTCTCTGGCCCATTCGTATTCTAGCTCTGATTTGTTTTTTCTTTCTCTATGGATTGTCTTTATAATGTTTCTAAATTAGGTTGCTGGACTAACCATATAGATTGAGCTCCTCTTTATTTGGGATCCTGTATTTGAGAGCACCACAACTCCCCCAAGCAGATTAGGCAAAGATCATGGCTAGCTTACAGCCACAGGTTAGTTTAGGGGAGTTGTGGGAGAAGCTTGACGTGAGGAGAGCAGGCAGATTATTCTTTTTCTTTTTTTTAAGCCTAAATTCCTAATCACTGAAGTAAGGATTTAATTTTCACCCTTCATAATCTGAGGGGTTACATGAGTCACTGAAGTTGGAATGGTCTGGCTGACCCTGTCATCTGTTTTGGGGAGGAGTTAGGGGAAAATTAGAGTGTCCCAGGTTTTCAGGTTCTTCTAACCCACTGGCTTAACGTCTGTCCTTTTTGTATCCCACAAACAAAAACAGACAATGGTTTATCTTTCTCAAGGAGAAAAAAAATGCCCAGTTATCCAAACTGTGTTCTTTTCTCAGGCCATGACCAGCCTTTTTTGTGTCCATTGCTCTGCCATATACTACTTACATAGGTGTGATGCCTGCCCCAAGCCACCTTCTTCCTCCTTCTGTCCCCCCACCACACACACACACACACACACACACACACAAACACACACACACACAATACATGGCTACTTTGATCCTGTGCTCTTCCAGTCTTCATCTTAAAATTGCACCCATGGAAAAGCAACTATAGTGGAGAAAGAAAGGATTTTGAATGAATGGTACCAGGACAACCAGTTAACTGCTTGGGAAAAAATTAAGTTAAATGCCTAACTTGCTCCATATAATAAAAATATAAAATAATAAAGATGACTTAAGGAAATTATGTAAAAGCGAAACTCTAAAACAGGTGAAAAAGGCAAATGTTTATCTAATCTTGAGGGGAAGAAGAACATTTTAAGCATCAAGCAGTATAAGAAATCAAAAGATTGATACATAAAAATAAAGATTTATAAATGAGAGCACACATAATAATCAAAATTGAAAGAAATTAGAAATAAAATGGATTAAATTATCACACATACAACTGATTGATGGTTAATATCCTTAATAGATAAAGAAGACTCATAAATCATTTAAAAAAGGACAAATATAACACTAGAAAAATTAGCAAGAAACTTGGAAAAGTTTCACAAAATAAGTAATATATAAATTCAATAATTATATGAAAACTAATAATTAAATAACTGTAAGTGGAAATAACTATGAATTATTACTTTTTACCCATCAAATTCATAGAGTGCTTGTTTTTTTCTTAAGGGTAATGCACATTGTTGGAGAGACTATTGTCTCTATATTGCTATTCACAATGTAGAATGATATCTTTCTCCAGGGAAATTATTCTTGTTCATTAACTTTACTATTTCCTTTCACCTGAGGGGTCAAAGAAAAAGAGGAGATTGAAATGTGGAAAAGAAGGGAGAACCTGGTTGGGATTTATATCCTGTCAAGTGGGAGAGCCCAACTCACCTGAATTCAGACCCATTGTACCTCTGCCATCCTTGACCACTTGCGGCATCGTTTATGAGCTCACACGCTCTGCCCCAATTCTGCTACTGACCCTTCTATATGTCAGAGCTCCTTTTTCTAACAAAACATGAGAGAACCTCAAGAGAGGGTCCTGACTCAGTAGGACAGCACAGAGAATACAGTTAATGATCCTGGAACATCTTACTACGCAGATAGGTAGTGACTGCACAGAGACCGTGAGGATTCAATAACATGGGTAACTATTGAACTGTATTGTATAGTTGAAACAACATAAGACTGTGTATCAATGGTATTTTAATAAAATAAAAAAAAGAGGGCAAGAGGGTCTTGACTAAAGGCACTCAACTTAGAACAGTTTGGGGGATCTGGGCAATACCAGTTTTTCCATCCTAAAATGTAATGGCACTCTTTACCCTTCAGCATGTGAATTTGTCCAGTACAAAGCTGACACTCCTACAGAGGAAGCTACAACCTGATGCCATGTATGAGATTAAAGTGCGCTCCATTCCTAACCCCATCTATTTTGAAGGCTTCTGGAGTGAATGGAGTCCGAGTTTTCACTTCAGAACTCCACTTCAGGCCAGAGGCCCCGCTGGTAAGAAGCGACTGTAGAGTCTGGTGCCCACAGCCCCCACCACCACGGTGTCTGCGTGGCAGAGTGTGAGTGAGAGCAGAAGCTGGAGCAATGACATGAACCCACAAGTCAGGACTCCCCTTAGGGCATTCTTACACTAGATGACCTCCTAACTCTGCCCCTGCTGTGAGGAAGAAGGAAGAAGTGGGAGCAGGGCCTTAGTCATTCATTCATCAGCTGACGTAGGCTGTCTGGACTCTACTGTCCTGGGTGCTTCTGGGAGCTGTTCATAATTCTGGACAAAATCCCCACCCACTGCCTGTAGTTTACCAATTTAGACTGGGATCCCCCTGGCTGGTCTCTCTGAGGCCCACCTAAGGGAAGACCTTTGATAACTGTGGATGGGTAGGCTGGTAGGCTCGCCCATACTTCCTCTTCCAGAATAATGAAGATACCCTGGGTTTCTAGGAAGTGGGACTTCCCAGAATAGTCAAATAACATGGCTCTGGCAGGTCCCTGTGGGCCTAACATACCTCACATACACCTTCTCTCTGGGGCATGAGGAGGAATGTTCTGCCACGCCAGCTTCCCATCCTCATGCTGGAAATGGCAGAGACTACAAGTAAAGAGCATCTACCTCATCATCCCCATCCTCGGCCTCTTTCTCCTGGTGGGAGCTGGCAGGTGAGTGCTGCTATCTTTAGAGCTAGGTCACTTTTACATGTCAAGTGGCAGATATTCTGGAGCTGGCCACCCAAATCAGTGCCACTTAATGAAGCCAAAATTCCCTATAAAGCTAGTGTACCATCCTATGCACTGAGGAGCAACTTCAAAGAAATAATAAACGAACCCAAGTTACTGAATAAATTCCAAGCATCCTACAATCCCCTGAATGCATGATAACAATTGCTAACCAAGATCTGTTTTTGCATTTCAGGGGTGATGGATCCTGTTTTACTAATTATCAGCATTATGAGTTTCTTCTCTGTGGTTCTGATGGTCACCTTGGCCTTTGTGTTATGGGAAAAAAGGTGAATTTCTTTAACTGATCAATAACCCAATTTTATAACTGGGTTATATGGGATTCCAGACAGTTGGAGGTCTAACTCTATCTATCAATGAAGAAATCACAAAGGGAAATAAGGCATTTCAGGGATCACAGCACCCAACATCCCTCCCTCCCCTCAGGTATCGGGGAATTTCCACAGGTAATTTCATAAGAGGTGAAAATATATAAACTGAACATAGGATAAACCCAACCCACAAGCTTATTCTCCTAAAGGAGTAAGAATGTCTGGGCAGCTGAAGGAATACATGGAAAATGTAGAATGTATATGAAATCTAGATTCTCAGCACACAAATTTGTAGAACTTATTCATTCTAGCTTATGATGAAGCCATGTTTATTTAATCACAAAAATGATGTCTTAGACATCTACCAGTCAAGTTATTAATGTTCTAGGATGATGCCCTTAGCCCAGGGCCACATAATTCAATGATACTCCAGTTTGAAAAGCTCCACCTTGAAGAAATTTCCCTGGGCAACTTAGAAAATATTATTCATTTCCACTAAAATCAGAGCAGAGGAGTTACTGCCAGTAAAGAGAAGGAGTAAGATGACTAACACCTCACTTGGGAGTAGATGAGTGGTCAGATTTTAGTTTCACAGCTACATCATTGCCAAGCCTCATTGTTGCATTCCTCCGGGCTCTTTCCCAGAGCTGTATCATTGTTATGTCTTGCTCACAGAGTAGATCACTGACAACAGTCTCTGGTCCAACCCCTCTGTGGGTCAATATGACACTGATGCTCAGAGAAAGCAAGTCACTTGTCTAAAGTCACCCACCTAGTTGCGGAAGACGCAACTAAAAATTTGCTTTTTTGATTCCTGGCTCAGAATAGATGGAAAGACCTATTGTGCTTGCTCCCCCTACCATTCTTTTAATCTATCAATATCCTCTCCTTTTAGAATTAAACCTATTGTGTGGCCCAGTCTCCCTGATCATAAGAAGACTCTGGAACAACTGTGCAAGAAACCACAAAGGGTGAGTGCTTGTGGTGCATCTATTATATGTTGGAAGATTCCTAGTAGCCAAGAATGATATTGCAAGATAAGTGACAGATGAACCTCAAACTTTGGCCTTTTGTGAAATTCTGTAACTAGAGTCCCTCATAAGATCCTAGTTGTAGCTCCCCAGTGGCAGAAAACCAAGATGAGATATGTGCTTCCCCAGGGCTGGAGGACATGGCCTGTGGTCACTGACCCTGACATGTCACAGTGCCTCCAGAGCCAAAGTCACCTGGAACATGTGGGTAATTGTCTGACATTCCCTGGTGAAACCCCATCAGAAATTTCTTTAGATCTTTTCCTGAACTGAACATTTGGTGGTGCATCTCTTTGATGTACTCTTAATGCCTTCTCTCTTTTTTGGTGCAGAATTTGAATGTAAGTTTTAATCCTGAAAGTTTCTTGGACTGCCAGATTCATAGGGTAGATGGCATTCAAGCTAAAGATGAAGCAGAAGGCTTTCTTCATGTCACTTTTCCACCACAACTAGAGGAGTCTGAAAAGCAGAGGCTTGGAAGAAGTGTGCAGGACCCTAGCTGGCCATCTGAACATGCAGTCATCACCCCAAAAACTTTTAGACAAGATCCAATCCCCCAGTGCCAGGCTGGGGATATCAGTGTGTGTGATGACCCTATGCTCCCCTCCTCCAAGTCCCCAGGCTTCAGGGAAGGTGGCAAAAATGAGCCTCATGTGTACCAGGGGGTGCTGCTTGGCCCTGGAACTACAAATAGAACCCTGCCCCCTCCATTTCCTTTCCAATCAGGAGTCCTGACATGGACTCCAGCTGCCCAGGGACAGCCCATCCTCACTCCCTCCGGATCAAGTCAGGAAGAAGCATACGTCACCATGTCCAGCTTCTACCAAAACCAGTGAATTGTGACAAACCCAGGACTGGAACCATTGTAACCACCAAAGATGCCTGAGCTTCTCTTTCAGCACAAAGAAAACAAAATTGATGTAACCCCTCTATATAATCTACAGGATTCCAAAACATGGCTTTGACCGCTGTGCCCTCTCCTCCCTGCTTCAGGGCATCTGGCATGGAGCAGCAGCCCTCTGCTTCAGGCAGCTCAAGTGATTCAATGATTTCAGAAAGAAAAAAAACAGAAAAGAATGAAAGAAAGGGTGGAGAAAAGGATGGAGGGCCGAAAGAAGGCGGGGAGCAGGAAGGACAGCCCCACTGTCAGGATCACCGCACCTCGGTGCCGCGCTGCTGCTCTACAGCTCTGGCCTCCCCGCCTCCTCGCAGCAATCTGGGGAGGGGTGCACTTATTATCATGATCCCTTCGTCACAGGATGATGCTGAGGCTTAACAGGGTTGAATACCATGTCCGCGTTTCCCAGTCAGCTAGGGGTGGAACCAAGACCTGACCGCCGGGAGTGTCTGCCAGGCCCTCGTCTTCCTCCTGACTAGGGACTGTCCCATTCTCGAGTGCCAACCTCGCTAATACCAGGGTGACTATATAATGTATTGTCCAAGTTGGGTCACTTTTGAAAGTGAAAGGGGAAGTTATAAATACTCATGCCAGGACAACCAGCAAATGGGCACATGTGGTCAGCCAAACCAAACGCTGTGAGAAAGAATGTGGGAGAGAATGGTCTCACGATGTGGGAAGCACCATGGCCAGCCATGTCTACTAAGGATTAAGAAGGCAAGAAAAAGCCACACAGCCCATTCCATTTTGTTTTTCTGAAAAAGTGTTCAAGGGAGAATAAACTAGAAGCCCAGAATTTCTATTGTTAGTTGTCAACAGCATGATCCTCTTGCTGCCGCCACCCAGCTGCCTCCATCAGTGAACTGTTGCCCACTCTGGACACGGTGCATTTGAGCAATAAGCCAGGGGAAAACCCTCCTATGTGGGTAAAGATTGCCAGCTCAGATTCATCTTCATCTGTCCGGAGTTCTACAGCCATGAATGTTCCCAGGAATTCAGGGAGGAGCTACTGCCTGGGCCTGCAGTGAGCCAGCCGTCTGCATGTCCTTGGAGATACAGAGGAGACATGGTATTAACATTTGACACGGGTCCTCTTGCATCTCCTGGTCTGATGAATTCCCAATGACTATCTCAGTGACTGAGCAGTCTCAGCTCTGGGGGATGCAGCTGCCCCCCAGCCCTGGGTGTCTGCAGAACCACACAGGCAGCTGGAGTGGTACAGGAGGTAAGGAAGGACACAGATTTAGGATTTTATCTGGGGTCTGTCATTGTTGCATTTATTTCTCTGTGCCATCTTTTGTTTAGGGCCAGGAGCTAAGTGTTTTTAATTTTTTCATTTTTTTCATCGGTTTTGTTTTGTGATGTCTGTGAAGGGAGTTTTAAATTTTGGACTAACAGCCAGCCTTTTCTGTTAGCTCAGAGGCCTAATGATAATCAGACCATCTTATTTTTCAAGTGAGTGTTGTACATTCCAAGTCCTTTCTCTGAATCAGCAGTAATGAATATAATCCCATAATCCCTTAGATTTTCTTAGGGCCTTGGTGGTTTTCAAAGGACTCCCATAAGCATTAGGCCTTTCATATCTTGGACAAGTATTTATGGGAAGTCTGCTATGTGTCAAATAGCAGAGGCTCAAATAACTAAAGACAAATAAATTTGGGACTCTGCCTTCACTAAGTGAAAAATCTAACGCTAAGTGTCAGCTTTGTAAACAAATGATTGTAACATCACCAAATGCTATATGGGGGACATGTTCAAAGTGCCCTGTTGCAGACAGTCAGGGACAATGCCACAAAAGTGATAATTCATCTGCATGGAGGGAAAGCATAATCTTCCTGAGGTGTAACAGAAGACATTTTGTCCAGGTTGGTGTGTGTTCTTCACCCTTAGTAGAAATAGGAGCCGAGTCGCAAAGAGGAGGTGACCCCAGGAAACCTTAATCCCCGCCAACCTGCCTTGTGCCTGATTCACAGGTGTCCAGTGGGGTATGCATTGTTATTATCTTTAACTTAAGGGCAAATGGGGACACAGAGAAGACACACTCATTCTTACATGTTAAGTCAGGACTAGAGGCTGTAAATTTGTATCCCTGAAATAAGTAGACAATCTCTCCAAGAAAGGAGTAGATAAATCTAGAGGAAGATCAAGGTCCCTCAAGCTCTAAAATTGTTCATTTCAGGGTTGTTTAGCTTAGCTTATCATTTGAATTTAGTGTGTGACTGTCTATTTGTTACTAGAAGCATTTAAAATCCATGTAACATACTTTTACAATCATAAGAGTGCTTGATTATATATTCAGGGAGAATGTATCAAGTAAGATTACAAATTTTTTCTGATCAGCTCCCTCTTGGATTTCATTAAGAAAAAAAAAACTGGTCAAAGACAGTGTACAAATCAGAGATATAAACTGCTAGCTCTGGAGAGCACGAAATGAAAAGAAGACTGATAAACAGGTAGCTGATTTGGCCAATTAAACAACCATCTCTAGGTCTAGGGAACCCTGGTTTATTTGATTGATTTTCTCCCAGACTTCGCCTCTCTCATACTGGTATTCCACGGAAATTCACTTCAGAAAAGCCGAGTACATACTTGTGTTTTCAGGACGTGTCTGGAGGGGCTGTAAGACGGAAAATGGTGAGAATGTGGTAGATGCAGATCAGATGGCATTTCTGCCAGCTCAGTGATTTTTCTCGGGGGTTATTCTGAAAAATATCCAATGTTCACTACAGCGAAGGTCTCTGACCTGACAGCGTACTTTCCATGTGCATTAAACTTTTTGCAGAGCTGCTAAGTATGTAAGTATCTGATGTGTGTTACCATCTCATATTTAATTAACTGCTATGGAACTCTGTGCCTGTGGCTTGTCTTCCCCGAGAAATATGGATAGAGGGATATGCAGAATGGGCCACAGTTCTCCACAGCCACTGGAAACATTCTGGTGTCAATTGTCATTTTATGGGTTTACATTTTAAGAGGAAGCTATTTCATCACTTTAGGAATTACTTTGCAAATTCATGAATAAACAATGATTTGAAAAGGATCTGCTTGGGATTACCTTGCACAGAGTTGGGCACTGGGGTTGCAGAAATGAGATGGGATGTTCCCAGCTCACAATTACATGGGGACAAAGTCTCATAGAAAGAGTTACAATGTTACATCATTGCTTTAAGGTGAAGTAATCATTAGGATTCTTAACTTCATTCAATAGAGACTAATTTTGGCTCATTTGAGCACAAAAGGGACTTATTAAAGGCCACTAGAGGTCTCACAGAAAATCTGGGACAGCAAAAGAACCAAACATGGAGGCCACCCATATGACTATAATTGACACCTCCAGAAACTGCAACTGGCCTCCCGCTGCCACCACCAGCCCCAAAGCAGACTCAGCAGCAGAACAGACGTGGGGGCTTCACAAAACTGGCTAGTAGTTTAAAGGCAGAGCCCTAGCCTGTGGTGGATTGCAACTACGCCTAGCTCCTGTTCCTGGGCCCTAGCAATGGGAAGAAGAGAAGAGAAGAGTTGGCCTTTCATCTGCAGTAGGATACAGACTCTGATTCACAGTGTGGGCATTCCTCAAATGTAAGAAGCAGGTTCTGCTGCTGGGTGAGAAAAAAGCAAAAACAAAAACACAAGGATGCATCACGGAAGACGCACCCAGAAGGGGTAACATGAAGGCAGTCACATTTGCTACAGGAGCACAGAGTAAACAGAATATGCCAGACAAAGGAGCCTGGAGTCTAAGGGCATTTCCTGGCAGAGGGAGCAGCATGTCCACAGTCAGGGACCTGAGGCAGGGTATGAGACACTGGAGGAGTTACAAATACATTAGGTGATGTCTCCTTACCTGTCTCAGTTGGGAACAGTAGGGTGTTGGTAGTTAGTCCCACAAGTCAGACACAGAGTGCTTCATAAAAAATAACGTGTATATGTCTGGCACATTTTATTGTAATTAAAAGCATAGGACTGTATGTCCACTCACCACCCTTTTGTTACAAGGCTAAGGCTGTTTCTGGGTGTGAGGTCATCTATTGCAAGTCCGTGTTGTCTTTCTTCAGGAATACACACAGATTAACACATCATCTACTCTTTCTAGTTTTGATATCTTTGTGTTTTTTTGAAATGCATTTGACATACCACATTATATTGGTTTTATGTGGATAACATAGTGATTTGACAATTATATACATTACTAAATGCTCATCACAGTAAGTGTGGTTACCAGTCATCACCACATAAAGATAATACAATATTATTGGCTATATTCCTTATGCTATATTTTCATCCCTGTGGCTAATTTATTTTATAATTTGAAGTTTATATCTCTTTATCTCCACCTGCTTCACTCATGTCCCCTTCTTCTATGGCAACCACCAGTCCATTCTCTGTGTTTATGAGTCTATTTCTATTTTGTTTGTTCATTTGTTTTGTTTTTTAGATTCCACATATAAGTGAACTTGTATGGTATTTGTCTTTCTCTGTCTGACTTATTTCACTTAGTTTAATACCCTCTAGGTCCATGCATGTTGTCAGAAATGGCAAAATGTTATTCTTTTTTATGGCCAAATAATATTCCATGGAATATATACCATATCTTCTTTATTCATTCATTGGCCAATGGAACCTTCAGTGCTTCCATATCTTGGCTCTTATAAATAATGATTAGTTTTGTTTTCTTTAAAGTGAAAAAGGACTTTCAAACACCTTCAAAGAATCAAAACATAGATGCCTAGATGGCTAACATTTTGAAGCTATCTCCCCACACCAATCTTTTATCAGCCCTTTTCCAACCATATGCTAGCAGTTAGACGTCTCAAAATGTCTATAAAGTCTTTTCAAACTACTCAATGTGTCCTCATAAATTAACATTAGTCTTTCTTTGCACACTCATATTTCATCAGCTTTCATATGATAACAAATCCAACTGGTCTAAAAAAGTTTGATGTGGATAGTTTATGTCTCACTTCTTGGTTGGGTACAAGGTGCACTAGAGGACAGCCTATGAGCAGCCAAATCCAATGTAGGTGTCAACATATCTGACAGAGAGAATGGAGAGTGCTGGTTCATCCGGCAGCTGGTCCAGTGGAAGCTAACTGCTGGCATCTTCTCAGCTTGGCCTTTCTAATTCAGAGTTAGCCAAGCAGTAGCTGAAATAACACTTGGCAGAACTGGTGTGGGCTAATGCTTTAGCATCTGGCATGCTAGTCTAAGAAGTTTTGATTTAGTCTTCAGGGGGTGGGAACATGTGGGAGGATTTTAATCAGGGTGTGGTAATAATAAATGTCATGTGTTTATGGAAAAAAGCTATACTCTATTGTCACCACACTGATTTGTAATTGCCTAATTTGTCTGGTGCCCCTATGGTTTTTGGACTATGATTCATTGAGGTTTATATCTGTTGCTGAACACAGTATCTAACATCTAGAAGGCACCTACTCATAAAGGTGGAACAAATGAATCAACGTATTAGTGAATGATGTGCTTCCTCTTCGCCATTTAGGATAGAAGAATGCCAGGCTAGGATGCTCAGACAGGCAGGCACTGCATCCCTGAGAGATTAGCACATCTGGGCAGCCACGTGCAAGGAGTCAGTTGCCTTCTTCATCCACAGTTACCTCCCCAGCTGCACTTTTAACCACTGTAACCACAGAAGAGGAGGGACAACAAGGGCAGGATGGGTAGGGGGAGAATTTTCCAAAGCTTCATTTCTCTGATGAATATGTGCATGTGATTATGTTTGTTCATGTATTCAGTTTATTTTAGATCCACAGTGAAGTCTAACGTAACTTCTTTAATGGCTTGTGGCATCTCTGTGGGATTTGTGTGTAGCTTGCAATGAAGCAGCTGTTGAGACAAAGAAAAGTGTGATGCATAAAACCTGGGGGTCTGAGGAATACATCTCACTTCTCAAGACACTGGCCAAGCCAATGTGGAGTGAATGACACACACATCCCCTGAGATCTGAAAAATAAAGTTTCAGTGAATTCTGCAGAAACACTTGAGATAATCTGGTAGGTCCTTCAACTGTAAATTATGATGGCCAATTCCTTTCTACTCTGGGTAAAAATTTCTCATCAAGAAGAGAACTTACAGAGGCTAAAGACATTTTTCTTTTTTAAGTGACAAATTAGTTGCTAACAAAATGTAAATTGCATTAGTCATTAGGCAAAAATGTCAAGTAATCAGAACACATTTTAATATTAAGCTAAAGACACTGTTATCCATGGATAGCAATGAAATATTACTTTTATAACCTAAGGAATATTTCATCTAATTAGATAGAAATTAAATAAATGCTGTTGCATGAGACTGAGGAATATGTTGTGAAATCCCTTTTTTAAGTATTAACAAACTCATGAATTTAAATGTGAAGTTGCCAATGTAGATTTGAATGATGCTTAGGGTTCTTTTTAAATAAAAAGCTTTAGTAAAATAATAAAATAGAATATAAGCCAGGGTCATACTCAATGGTGAAATCTTAAAAGTATTTCATTAAATTTAGAGATTGAAAACAAAAGAAATTCCTCTGTTATCACATTTAACATTGCTCTAGAAATGCTAGGAAATACAATTAGACAGAGAGAAGGGACAAAGCATAAATATTAAACAGGAGGAACCAAATGATCATCATTGGCAGATGGAATGTTGCATATCTGGAAAACACAAGGGGATCAAGTGAAAAAAATTCTCTGAAAGATACAAAGATTCATTAAGGTCTTTGACTGTAATATTTTCATGTTATTTCTTTAAATAATTATTGAATTATTATTACTAAATAAATGCTTGTTCCCCAAATTCAAGAAACACAGATACATATAATGTAACAAAGTACTTCAATCCCCAATCCCACCCCTGAGAAATAGTCATATTCAAACATTATGTGTAGATTTCCACATCAAATGCATACATATATATATATATGTGCTGTAATTCTAAAGGTCATGTGGAAAATAAATGTTCAAGAAGACCATGCACAATTCTGGAGAAGAAAAGAATTGAGAAGGGACTATACAAATGATTTTAACACAGTGATTTAAAGACAATATAATTACTTTCATTATACATCTAGATGTGATGAAAAAGACAGTTACTATCAGAGCCAAAAACTGCGAGGCTTTTTTTGCCTAAAAATTCTAGATATCTTTATTTATATTTTCTGTTTTTGTTTTTTATTTTTGAAAGAACAATCAATGAATGAGAATAGAAAACCTGTGTGTCCAGATTCAGGCACTCTAAAAATGTTCACTTACTTTCAACTAGTGGAAAAAAAGTAGATTATTTAATAAATGAAATTGGAACAATATACTAGCCATTTGTAGATGAGGAAAGTACTAACCAACTTCTTATTTGAAAACAAACCTGCATATATCAAAGATATAAGTAAGTTTTCAAATGAAAACAAATATGCTAGAAGACATCAGTGAATCATTTCATGATTTTTGGATGTTGCAATCATTTCTTTAAAAGACAGACAATGCAGAAGCCATATAAGAAAAAGATTGATACATTTGAGTATGCACAATTCAGAATATTAGCAATTTCTTTACTGTATTTATAAAATGCACAACACAAAGAAAAGATAAAAATGAACTAGAAAAACACGGCAGGCAAAGTGGTAATCCAGAATCCTGAAAGTCAGTAAGCAAAAAACGAACAATCCAGAGAAAATGGACAAAGCACGTTATCAGAGTTCACAAAAGATGTGAAACTGACTTTTGAAATATGAAACTATGCTGTATCTCATTTGCAAATACAGTAATAAGATAAATTTTTGCCTATTAAATTGTGAAAATTAAAAAGACTGATCAACTTCTATGCTGAGAAGAGTATGGGAAAAGAGGCTTTCTTATATGCTGTTGGTAGGAGTTTAAATTAGTACAAACTTTTTTAAATTGAAGTATCATTGATATACAATCTTATATTGGTTTCAAGTAGTTCAGTGGCTAAACAGCTATCCATACTATTAAATCCTCACACCCCTGGTGCAATTACTACCAATATAGGAAGATATTACAGAATCATTGGCTATATTCTCTATGCTGTACTACATCCCTGTGACCAACTTATATTATGATTGAGAATTTTTGTGCCCCTTCTCCCACATCCTCCCCACCCACCCACCCCAACCCTTCCCCCATGGTAACCACCAATCACTTCTCAGTGTCTGTGAGTCTACTGATTTCTTTGTATTTATATTCCACAAATAAGTGAAATAATATGGTGTTTATCTTTCTCCACCTGCCTTATTTCACTTAGCATAATACCCTTCAGGTCTATCCATATTGTTGCACATGGAAGAATTTTCTTTTTATGGCTGAATAATATTCCTTGGGTATATGTACCACATCTTCTTTATCCATTCGTCTATTGATGGACACTTACGTTGCTTCCATATCTTGGTTATTATAAATAATGCAGCAGTAAACATAAGGGTGCATATGTATTTTTTCAAATAAGGGATTTTGTTTTCTTTGGGTATAAACTTTTAAGAGGGCAATTTGGAAATGCAGAGCAAAATCTAAAAATAAAAAGTTACCCAGAAATTTCACTTTTAAGAATTTTCTACAGAAACCAATCACAAAAAGGCTCAAAAAATATGTACAAAAATATCTATGCAGTACTGCTCATAATAGAGAAAAATTACAAATTTTCTAAATAAAACATAGCATATCCATAGTATGGAATATTAACAAAATTGCTAAAAGAAACATGGTAGAGGTTTACATGCAGATAAAGGAAAATGTTCATGCCGTTTTGCCAAAAGCATCTAGGAAGAGGAAACTTCAGAGATCAGTTCTGTCTTACTTCCTTCTCCTACGATTCTATCATTCCCACCAGGAGAAAACACCGGATTGAACAACATATCTGTTAGCTATTGTTACAATGATGCTCAGTAACAAACTATACCAAAACTCTGTGGCTATAAACAACATCATTTATTCTTAGAAATTGT